AGAGCAAAATCTTCTTTATTAAAAAAAAAATTCAAAGCATATATTATGTATTTTTAAAATTTTGCAAAATTTTGTCTAATTTTGGATCGGCATGAAGCATAATGAAAAGGTTTACAATGTTAATTTTCATTATTACTGTTATTTTTCAAAATTGTTCTTTTACAATTTTTTAACACTATTTTTTCCTTTTTAGTTTTTTTTATTGATTTTCTGTTTTTTTAAGAGTTGTAAAAAAAAATTGATCCGTATGAAAAACCAAACCGTAATAATTTAATTATTAATTATTTTACTTTATTTACAAAAGATTTTTTTATATTTTTAATCGAAAAATACTGATCTAAAGTTTCACCGCTTCTAGTTATTTTTTCTTAATTTTTCTTTGTTATTGTTTTATTAATTTTTTTTCGCCGTCTAAAAAACATAAATAAAAAAACTTTTGGTAATTATTTTGACACCTTTTCCGACTATAAAGCACATATTTTAAAAATTTTACCAAAAATTTCCAATAGTTTTTCAAGGTCGCCAACAAATGTACAAATAAAATTTGCTTTTAAAACATTTAACAAGACCAAAAAAAAAAACAAAAATGATTTTTCAAAAACAGTAACACAACTACATACAGGGTTACCAAAAAGTATGGAACCAATCGTTTTTTAATAATTTTTTGTCACCAGAAATAATAATTGACAAAATTTAAACTGCTCTAAAATCTGATTGTGTTTTGAGAATGAAATTTTGGTTTGTTGAGTCATGCAATTTTGTTTTTCATTTAATTTTTTTTTTTTATTAAAATTGAATAAAATCTGGTAGTTGTAATTGTATACGGTTGTGAATAATTTTTTTGCAATTTTTTTATTACCGCTGAGGCCAAATCCGGTGATTAGAGTTAAGACGAAAAAATCCCTTTGCCCTAAAATGCAACCAAAATAATTCAATTGGACTAAATCGGGGCCTTACACGGGTCGGTGTCAATCCGGACGAAAACACAGGTCAGGACAAACATGAAAATGAGCCCCAGGAGCCCCCCCAGAATCCTATACAGCAAACTTAAATATTTCCGTAAAACCCGGATTGTCAGTATTATAAATAAGACATTGCTCACATTTGAACAAATTATATAATCTGACGTGAATTCGGCCTGGAGGCCGGTCCTGTTATCACTATTATAACTGATATTGCTGTCAGGATCGCGGAATTTGAACATCCAGTACTAGAATTACATTAATTAATTAATCAATTAATTAATTAACTTACATCGGTCGCAGTTGTGAAGAAGTTCGCCGGCACCACTGTCACAACCCCAAACGAGTAAAACAAGACATAAATCAGGATGGAGTTGTCTTTGGGGGGCCCACAATCGTCCGACTTGTCCATGACTGAAAATAGAAACTTTCCGCCCTCAACACTCACTTAAATGATCACTTTTTCGAAGCATTATCGCCCGTATGCGTAAATGTGCCTTTTCCAAGAGAATGAATCAACTAGATAACACACTCAACGAGTTTTATCGAATCAAACACCCAAAACTACTCCAAGTGATGTTTATTTGAGTCTCAGAAACATGTTTTATTAAAATTAAAATTACTGCTATTGGCGCTCAAGGTCTTGAGGAAATTTTGGAACTCGACGGTGCTGCTGATGATCCTCTGGGGGCCACTGTTGTCGTCCGAGGAGGACCCCGTGGTGTCGGTGGGGGAGTATAGGCGCTCTTTGATGTTGGAGAGCTTCATCTTCGGACGCAGCATTTGGGCCTAAAATACATATTTTTGTTTCAATGTTTTTATTTATCAATTTTTTACAAATCGTGTGAGTATTTTTTGCATAAACCAATTACTTCACGAAAAAAAACGAAATTTTTTTTATTTTTTTTAATACTTTTTTTGCAAAGAATTTTAATCGAAAAAAATATGTTGCTATTTTGAAAAACAAAATTGCATGCCACAACCAAAGTTTCATTCTCAAAACACAATTATTATTTTTCTGGAGACAAAAAGAGATTTAAAAAAACGATTGGTTCCATTTCTTTTGTTCACCCTGTATGTGCTACTTTTTTCAAATATCAATTTTGTTTTTTACAACGTTTTTTTTTGGTGCTTTACACCAATTTTTGTTTTTACATTTGGTACCTGCGTTGGTGCTAGAAGTTAAATGTCAAAAATAATTGCCAAAAGTTTTCTTATTTCATATTTTTAAACGGCAAAGAAAAATTAATAAAACAAAAACAAAGAAAATGTAGGAAAAAATAACGAAGAGAAGAGACAGACAGACGCACCTCTGCAATTAAAAAAATGTAATTTCTCAAAAATTGTGATATTTATTCCAAAATCTAAAAAAATTGTGTTTTGAATAATATTTTTATTATTAACAACAGAAAAAATCAAGTTTGGAGTATTGTATATTGGCTTTTGCTCTACAGGGTGATAATTAGAAGTGGTAAAACTTTAGATCAGTATTTTTTTATCAAAAATGTATGAAAAACTTTCATAAATAAGGTCCTTCATCCGTATCAATTTTTTTTCTTTATATCTCTAAAAAAAATAAAACAAATAACAAAAATAAAAAATTGTAAAAGCAATAATTTTGAAAAATAATAATAATAAATATACAGGGTGAATATAAAATATGGAACCAAGCGTTTTTTTTAATCATATGTCTCCAGAAAATAATAATTAATATAAATTAAAGTAATATAAAAAATGTGATCATATTTTGAAAACGAAATTTTGTTTTGTTTTTGAGTTATGCAATTTTTTGTCAAAATTGCAATTTATGTAATTTTTTTATTTAAATATAAAGAAGATAGTTGTAATTTTTTGACCATAACCTCCATGATAAAAATGGTTTTATAGTGGGTTGCCATTTAAAAAAATTAAAAATTTTGTAAAACTCAAAAACAGAATAAAATTTCAAAAAATTTATTCGTGATAAAAGATCACATTTTTATAGTAGTTTTTCATTCATCAAATAGTTTTTCCAAAAAAGCAAAAAACGTTTGGTTCCATACTTTTTATTCACCTGGTATAATAATGAAAATTAACGTTGTAAAACTTTTCAATAATTTTTCTTAACAATACTGAATTCAAACTCTTTTTTTCTTTAATAAAAATTTCGCACTATTGTTTAAATGCTATAAAAACAAATTTTGTTTTTACATTTGGTATCGGCGTTGCCAAATTACTAAAAATTAATTTTTGGTAAAATTTTTAAAATATGTGCTTTAAAGTCGGAAAAAAGTGTTAAAAGTTAAATGTCAAAAATAATTACTTACCAAAAGTTTTCATTATTTCATATTTTTTAAAAGGCAAAGAAAAATTAATAAAACAAAAACAAAAAGAAAATAAGAAAAAATAACGAAGAGAAGAAACTGTAAAACGCACCTCCGAAATTTAAAAAAAGTAATTTGTCAAAAATTGTCATATTTATTCCAAGATTAAAAAAAATATGCTTTTAATAATATTTTTATTATTAACAATAGGAAAAATAAGGTTTGGAATATTGGTAAAGAAGTCTTTGCTACATCGTTTCATATAATTTTAATGCGCCTTTGCTATACAGAGTGATAACTAGAAGTGGTAAAACTTTAGATCAGTGTTTTTTTTTTATCAAAAATGTATGAAAAACTTTCGTAAATAAGGTCCTTCATCCGGATCAACTTTTTTTTATATCTCTGAAAAAAATCAAATAGTTTTTCCAAAAAAGAAATTGTTTAAGCAAAAAACGTTTGGTTCCATACTTTTCATTCACCTGGTATAATAACGAAAATTGAAAAACTTTTCAATATTTTTTCTCAATACCGAATTCAAACTTTTTTTTCTTTAATAGACATTCCGCTCTATTGTTTGATGCAATTTTTAATGACCTTTGTTATACAAAGTGTCAACTAAACATTAAATTTCAAAAGATGGTTTTCGTTTCTGGAATGTAACTCATATGTTTTTATCATATTCTATTATTATTTTTTTCTTTCAAATTTCATAATGTAAAATACATGTGTAGTTTGCTATTAACAACAATAAGTTAAATACGGTCCTGGAACATTAAAACATTTGTCAATTATTTCAGTTAATGCAAATTTTACAACAATACAAATATAATAAGGAAAAAAAATACACCCATATACCTTACTTGACTCACCCTGTATAAAAAAGTTCACTCGCAGTGCTACAAATTAAACATACAGAGTGTTCTATTACAAACAAACAGTCAAGTTTTTGACAAAATCAAATTTTGGCAAACGACTAACTCGAAAATCTGAGGTTCGATCCTCAGTCAGGCCAATTTTTTTTTTAATTTTTCTACCTTGTATGCATTGTAGTTCAAAATATTCTGCTTGACGACATTAAGATCGGCCTTTTTCTGGTGCAACACCTCGCAGTCGTTCTCCTTGGAGGTGTCAAGACTCGACTCGTCCAAATCCACTGAAATTTTACTATTGGCCTCAAACTCGACTTTGGTCGGTTCAAAAGTCCCAATACTTTTTTGCAACTCCATAATTTTCTTTTGAAAATTACAGATATCAGCGGGAGGATCAGAAGTAGAAATCTCCGATTGCTGAAAAAATCGATTAGAACTGAAACCACTGAAACGAGAACTGACTTCAGTGAGTGGTTTACTCGCAACATCCTTCTCTGGTAGTTGCTCGAGGTTGCTTTCACTGTCTTGTTTCTCATACAATTTTAGTTTTTCCTCGAGTTTCGAGTAGTTTTTCTCAAGAGTGGCCAATTTGCTCCTGAGGAGGTCCCTATCCCGGCTGATTTCCTTCAAATGCAGCTCCAAATTGTGCGCTTTTCGCGAAATTACTTCTTGGTTGGCGCTGGCGTAGTCCTTGTATTTCAGGTTTTCTTTCAGCGTGCTCGCAGTTCGGGCCAACTTCTCCTTCATCATGAAAGTCTCCAATTTGTACTCCTCGATCTGTTGTCTTGCACTTAGATTCTCCTTCTGGGCCAACACCAGCTGTTGGGACAACTCCTTCTTCTCCTTCTCCAACTCCTCCATTTCGCGCTTGATTTGCTCCTTCAGCGGCTCAGGACTCGACTCGCTTTCAGCCACTTTCAGGCGATTCGTCAACACTTGGCGATTCCTGAAAACGTTGTAGATTTTGAACACTCGCCACACCACCCAAGACATCGACTTGACCACTGAGCAAAACACCAAAGAGCACAAAAAGGCGCAGACGTTCCAGAGCAAAATCGGCCAGTTTAGTTTTGTCGCAGTTTCAGGAGTTTCGAAATTGCTTCGGTGTTTTTTGCTGAGTTCCCGGAATTGGCCGTTGAGGATGTCCTCGAAAGCTGGAAAAAGGGGACAATTTTGGGACAAGACACCGCCAGGGCTTACAGTGGGAGCAGCGCTTCCATGTCGAGTCCCCCAGCAAGTCGGTGAGGTAAATGAAGCCCCAAAACACGCACCCGAGACTCAAAAGGGGTTTCCAGTTCACACGCATTGCTAATTTTTCATTTTTTACTCAAGAAAAAAATATTTGGGGCGGAATTTGCAAACACATGTCTGACAAAAACAACAAAAGTTTCAATAAATGCGATTTAGTGTGACAGGAGACTTCAACATGCTTGATGTTTTAGAAAACAAAAAAAAAATCATTACTGAAAAATCTGAAATAAAATATAGCTGATATTTTGTAAATTTGTAACATTATGAAAAAGAGAAATTGTGAATGTTGGCTCCCCAAGTTGTGAAAATCGAAAAAATGTAGTAATTTTTATTTTGAAAAAATTTAGATTCGTTATGCATCTGTTTGAAAAAAATTGAAAAAAAAAATTTCTACACTAGTATTTTTTATTATTTTTATTCCAAATTTTATAAAATAAAATGGTGCAATCCGCCATTTTGTGTGCAAGCATCCAGTAATACAACATATTTTTTTAGTTTTTTATTTATTCTTTTATAGTTCTATGATTCTGCTAACTACATTTTTTATTTTAACAAATAGAAATTAAACTTTATGTAAACGTAACGCTTTACTTTTGTAAAATATTGTTCAAATAGTCATTTGCATATTCAAGCAACCAGTAATACAAAAAAAATTAAGATTTTTTATTCTTTAGAATTTAATAACTGTGTTAGCAATATTAAATGTGTGCATAAAAATAAAACTTTACTGCTTGTTTTTGGGACATTTTGGACAAATTACTACCAAGATTAAAAAACAATTTTTTGTTGATTTTCATTTCAAAACTCTCAGAACTTATGCAACTACAAATACAATCGTGTGTGTTTGTATGCCGACTATTGCCAACCTTAACAAATTGCAATGAAGCGCGCAAATTTAAATCGCTATATGTACTTTGAACATCAATATCTCGAAAAGTATGCATCGCACGTAAAAATTAACTATGTCAAAAAAAGATGCGCAATAAAAAGTTCTATCGAATGGCTTGGTCAAATTTGATTTTGGCGATAGTCATTTTTGTATCTCGCTTAGGAAGATTAAAATACCTACCTCATTTTATATTTTTAAAATCTATGCTTTTAGCTGAGATGTATGAGGGGTTACACGATAGGGTTATTTTTAGTTTGAAAAACCCACCCCTAAAATGTTTTTTATAGAATGCAATTTGTTTTAACTCATATAGTAGGGTTATGAATAAAGAAAAAAAATCCATAATTTGAAATTTTTTGGTAGACTAAAAACAGAGATTATGAATTAATTTATATCAGACAAATTTTTTTTGGGGGTCGACTGTTTATTATTTGAATTCCGTGATTTTTCTCAATCTTGTCAATTAATATTATAATCTTAAAATAACTCTTAAGGTTTTAAAAATTGCAAAATTTATGAAATTTTGGCTCGACCAAAAACTGCCAGTAAGTGTTAATTTTCATTCTAAATAAAATTATCAGGGTCTCAAAGCTTCATCGTAAAAAGTGGAAAAAAAAAAAAAAGTTAAACTTATATAATCAGTGTCTGACTTTATAACTGGGAGATCAAAAAAAGTTATTATCTCAAAAACTATGAGTCCTAGATCAAAACGATTTGTACAGGCGTGTTCTACGGTTAATTTTACATATAGTGCTAGTTTTTCATAAGAATAAAAAAATTTTGATTTTTTGGTCAAAATCGGATATTTCTAGCCTTATTCTTAACTTTATAATTCAATATCTCAAAAACTATGCATCGTAGAGTATTTTAACTTGTTGCATCGTGTTCAGCGCGTAATTTTACGTCTAGAAAACTATATTTCAACGACTTTTAGTAAATTGACTATTTTTACGATTTTACTACCGCTCACCTTGAAAAACTCAAAAAATTCGTATTTTTTTAAACTTGACCCAATAACGTTTTATGCACTTTTTTGAGTCTTTAAGACCTCTAGAAATGTTAAAAACGTTATATGGAAGAATTTTAAGGTTAAATTTTTTTTTGATTTTTGTCGGGATTTTGGTCGATTTTTGGAACCCGGYGCAMTCTATTGCCAAWAACTCCGGACTTATTGGTAATATCCTCTTWTATTTGGTACCGTTGGAAAGAGAATTTAATTTTCTATCATATAGAAAAAAGATCAGTGCTCTACGATAAATAGTTATCGAGAAAATTTGTGATAAAAGTCAAAAATATCAAAAATTTAAATACGTCTATAACTTAAAAACTATTACGCAACTATAAATCTTAGAGCAAAATGCCAGCAAACATTAGAATGGATCACGAAAAGCAACCGAAGTTTAACTTTTCATCTCGCGTTACACAAAAAAACCGAAATCTATATCTTTTATCACACGAATTATCCATTTGCAACTGAACAGAACTCGTGGCAAATTAACAACAATCATGATTATTATGATGAAAACAACACACAAAGCACAAGTTTCTCCTAATATCGATACAGAATTTACCCTGTCGTTTGGTCCCATCTCCTTGAGCCCCCATTGTCGCCTCGGCAACCTTCTCTTTCGTTTCCTCAACACAACACACTTAATTAATTACACTTGTAACAGGGTTATAAGTCTATAAGTCGTTCAAATAGTAAAAATTTTCAAAATTGTGATAGTTTAAATCCTGCCATTTTGTTTTTCAGGCGACCAGTAATACACCAAGTTTTTTTTATTTTTTAGTGTTTTATAATTTTGCTAAGTACATTTTTTCTAATAATTTTTAATTAAATTTTATGTAAGAGTGACGCCTTATTTTATTATGTGTATCTCAATTTTTGTAAAGTAAAATTGCTTAAACGACTCTTTAATGTGCAAGCAACCAAAAATACAACATATTTTTTAATATTTTTTATTAGATTTGTGATTGTGGTACTGATACATTTTAACAGATAAAAATTTATTTCTTACACTAATGTAAAAGTGAAACTCTATTTTTATTATTTTTTGTCTGAAATTTTGCCATTTTGATGTTCAGGCAACCATTAAAACACCATATTTTTTAAACATTTTTTTTATCGAATCGTTAAGTTTTATGACTGTGTTAACAAAAACACCATTGCCTAATCAACATTGCAATCAGTTTCATTATTTCTTGTTTCAGTGATATTTTTTTTGTGATAAGATGATAAAAACTGATTTGGCGCATGCGCCCCTGATTCGATCGCGTCCTGTCCTTACCTAAAAATTTTCCTCGCCTTCATTTTCCATCAAAATGTCGGCCATCTGATTTCCCTAACCTCAAAAGTGCATATGTGCTCTAGAAGATGCGATTATCGTCCACTTCCGCTCCCCTCAGCCATTCATAATCGCTTTCTCAACATTTTAAGTGTGTGAGCCCCCGGCCATGTCGAACTCCCTGTGCAAGACTTCGGTGCTCCGCATCTACCAGGAGGTGATCGACGACGTGATCAGCGGCGTCCGCGAGATCTTCCTCGAGGACGGCGTCGACGAGCAGGTCCTCCAGGAGCTGAAGCAGACCTGGGAGACGAAACTCAAGGCCAGCAAGGCGGTGCAGACCGAGGAGGAGAAGGCGAAGAAGGCGGAGATGGGCGCCACGAACGGCTTCCCCAAGCAGCACGTGCAGCCGGCGGCGGCGGCCCCCGTGGGACAGCTCCCCGAGACGAAGATGGTCCCCATCCAGATCACGCTCCCGGCGCAGCCCGGCAGCGACCAGGGCCCCCGGATACTCACCATCCAGGTCCCCGCGACGGCGCTGCAGGGCAACCAGCTGCAGAAGGTCCTCACGGGGCAGATCATCACCGGGATGATGAACCTCCCGGCCAACATCGCCTCCTCGGTGCTCCAACAGCACGTCAACGCCGTCTTCAACAGCCAACAGCAGCAGATCGTCACGATTGTCAACAGGAATATCGCCCAGACGGACGGGAACCACGACGAGGAGGAACAGATCGAAATCGAGTTTGTTTTGCCCAAGAAGAAGGTGCCCCAGGTGGACGGCCCGGTGGACACCTCCGACGACGATGAGGACGGGTCGGATGACGATAATGACGACGACGATATCGACGATGAGAAGGACGAGGAGGACCAGGAGATGGAGGAGGAAGGGGGCGAGGAAGAGCCCCTCAACTCCGAAGATGATGTCACTGATGATGACCCAACTGATTTATTCGATACTGATAACATTGTCGTTTGTCAATATGATAAAATCATAAGGAATAGGAATAAGTGGAAATTTTATTTGAAAGATGGGATTATGAACTTGAGTGGACAAGATTATGTCTTCCAAAAGGCTAATGGTGATGCGGAATGGTAATTTTTTTGTGAAAAAGTTGTTTATTTTTTAAGTCACTTGCACGCAAAACACGTCACTTATACTACGGAGCCCCCGGGTCCGACTTAAGTTATTGAATTTTTTTATGTAAGTGGGAGAATAGCCTGAATTGTAGATTTGTGTTATCCATTATAAATGTAACTAATCATAGGCGTTTAGATTAATCGAAATTTTTACTATGTATTATCAATTATCGATAGCCGTTTGTGAATAAAACTATTTTTGAAGTTACCCTTGTCTCGTAAACATAGACTGAAAAGTGTTCAGTCTGCGGTCCGGTTTATGCAATGTGGGAGGGAAAATTGCAAAAACTTGGGTACCCACCATATTTGATGGAAAACAAATGCTTGCGTCATTAGTGTTCTACGTGATTATTATTATTTAGAAATTAATATGTTTATCTTTTATCAAAAATGTCAAAAAATCTATTGTAAGTTACCATATTCTAAAACAAATGCCTGTCTCAATATCATAAGATATGAATCACAGTATCTCCACGTGATTATTTTTTACTACAGCGATTTGAAAAATGTTTAGTCTGCGGTCCGCCTTTATAAAAACATTTCAAAAAATTGTCTTGTAAGATATGACAAACTATTTATTTTTATATTACTTATGAAATAACATTTTTTTTTTTAAGTTACACCTGCCCTTGGCTAAAGGGCGTTCAGTCTGCAGTCCGGTTTCTGCAAAACTGCAAAAAATTGGTCACATATTTGCTAAAAAAATAAAATGTGAATCAGTGGTTTCTACGTGATTGTTTTTACTACTGACATTATTAACAAAATATTGTGTTGACGAAAAAAACTATATTTTTAATTACTCATGAAAACAAATTTTCAAGCTACACCACCTTTTGTTTATCCTAAATATAGATACATAAAGAATGACTGAAAAGCGTTTAGTCTGCGGTCCGGTTTCTGCAGTCTCAGTAAAAAAATGCAAAAAATTAGTCACCATATTCCATAAAAAAAATCTAATTTGAATCAATGGTTTCTACGTGATTGTTTTGCTAATGACATTAACACAATGTTTAGTCTGCGGTCCGCTTTTATAAAAAAATTCAAAAAATCGTATTGTAAGTTACGAAAAAACTATACACATTTTTTATTACTTATTAAACAACAATTTTTTAAAGTTACACAACCCTTGTTTCTCACAGTAAAAAATATAGTGAAGGATGTTTAGTCTGCGGTCCGCCTTTATCGAAAATTTCAAAAAATCGTATTGTAAGTTACTAAAATCTATATATTTTAATATTATGACTTATAAAATAACAGTTTTTTTAAGCTGTTTATCCTAAACACAAAAAGATACATATAAAAAACTGACTGAAAGGCGTTCAGTCTGCGGTCCGGTTTCTGCAGTCTCAGAAAGAAAATTGCAAAAAATTTGTCACCATATACTAAGTATAAAAAATAAAATGTGAATCACAGTGGTTTCTACGTGACTGTTTTTACTATTGACACCATTAATTAAATGTTTAGTCCGCCTTTAGAAAAAAGTTCAAAAAATTGTGTTGTAAGTAATAAAAAAACCATATACCGATATTTTTTTTACTTATTAAACAACAATTTTTAGATGTTACACCAGAAGACAGAAAAATATAAGCAAATTGAAAAGCATTTAATCCGGTTTTTGCAGTTTCAGAAGAAAATTGTAAAAAATTCGTTAGTGTTTTTCACCACTGAAATAAAAAAATATTTTTACTCTACAGCCTGTCTTAATAAAAAAATTGTGTTGCAAACTATACAGGGTGTGTCAGAACTCGCGCCCCAGAGAAAAATGTCAAGTAAGATAAGATACCAGGGACATGGAAAAAATGTTTAAAAAATTCTATCTATGAAAAAATTTTGACATTAATTTTTTGACATTTGACATTTTTTATGCCTATTTTATGATACTAATGATCTTTTTTTATATTATTCTTCTTCTAATAGTCTGTGGCAAAACAACTTGTAAATTTATTTTTGCAACTGAAATAAATAGTGTCAAAGTGCAAAATTTAAATAAACTCTCATAACTTCGAAATTTTTATAAGTACATTTTTTTCCATGTTTCTAGTATCTTACGTTACATGGCATTTTTATCTGGGGATCAAGTTCTGACGCACCCGGTATAAAAAATTGACTGAAGAGCGTTCAGTCTGCGGTTCGGTTTCTGAAATCTCAGAAAGAAAATTGTAAAAAATTAATACCAGTGTCATGACAAATACAAAAAATCACTATACAGTGCAAGTTTAACTACGGTCCGCCATTTTGAAATTAAAAAAAATAGATTTTCCACATACTGAAGTACTGTTTATTTCGTAAAATGGAAACTAAGAAACAATTTTATAAACAAGTTTTTACGCATCAAGTTACCACATTCTATGAAAAACAAATGCTTGCGTCATATAAAATGTGAATCAGTGTCTGTTTTTTACTACTAAGATTTGAAATGTTTAGTCTGCGGTCCGGTTTCTAAAAAATTGAAAATTGTCTCGAAATTCAATAATTTTACAATTCAAGGATTGTTTGTTTATTTTTACATTTAGCTCGATTAGACCACTTATTAATGCATCACCTCTCATCAATAAAACTTTCCCTCCGACGATTAAAAATTCAGTCGACTTGAATCAATACCTACTTAGACCCTTTCTACATAGTTGACCTTATTTGAACCGGAAATGGGATTCAATTGTTTGAAAAATGAAACACAATAGTGCTATTTTCCGCTTTATTTCAGCTACAGTAATTCTAAACTAGATGATCGTTATGAATGGGAAAATACAATACTTTATATGTAGATATAAAATATAATTATAAATATCATTTTTATGACTAGTCCGATGGTTAAAATGACAAATACAACCAATTGAACGGATATATGATACGTAGAATAGATAAAAAAATTAGCACCATTATGTAAAAAATTTCGATGTGGATGATGAGTGAGTGAATCGGTCCATTAGTTCCGATTGGTCCATGAACCTGCTTGATATAACGGCCTACTTTGGCACAAGAAAATGACACAATGAGACACTAAAACCTAACACCTATCGATTAAAATACTCGAAACAAGTGACATATTTCTCCTGGAATGAATAAATAAAAACTGGGGACTCTAATACTGCTCTCACAACTGCCCTGACTACGTTTACAATCACAACATTGAAATTACGAAGGGGTTTTCTCCTTGTCGCTCTCGGGGGTGGCTCCCTCCACCTCCAGACTCGAATTCAAGCTCACACTGGATTTGGGGGGAATCGGGGGCGGATTCTCCAACTTGGGGCTCTCCTCGAACGGACTACCACTGATGTTCATCTCCTGTTGGTGGCCCTTCAAATCGAAATCTTCATAACAAGTGTTGTTCAAATTATTCAAATTCGAATTCTCCGACATGCTTATACCCGAATCGCGCAAACTGTCGGGCGTCAACTCGCAGTCGGCGGGGGCGAAGCCTTCGGGGCCCACCAATGAGCTGGACTTCTTCTGGCCGCGTTTGGGGATGTTTGGGGGCGTCTCGCCCAAGGCTAGGCGCTTGTCCGGTGCTAAAACACAAGCACGGCGTTCAGTCTGCGGTCCGGTTCAACTTTCAACAGTGAAACAAAAGAAGAAAATGTACTGTTTTCGGACAAAAAACTGATTTTGACTCGGTTTACTGACACTTTATGAACTTTGAATTGTTTAGTCTGCGGTCCGCTTCAACTTTCAAAATTGAAAAAAATTGTAAAAATGTACTGTTTCCGGTCAAAAATACAAAAAGACTGATTTTGAAGCGTCTTACTGACATTTTATAAACTTTGAACTGTTCAGTCTGCGGTCCGTTTTATTTTTAAAAATTTAAATAAAAAACAAAGATACTGTGTCCGGTCAAAAATACAACAAAAACGATTTTTTAGCGTCTTACTGACATTTAATGAACTTTGAATTGTTTAGTCTACGGTCTTGCAGTCCGCTTCAATTTTCAGAACTGAAAAAAAAAGCAAAAATCCACTGTCTACAGCTAAAAAATTCAAAAAACTGACCGTCTTACTGACATTTTATGAACTGAATGGATTAGTCTGCGATCCGCTTTAACTTTCAAAATTGAAAAAAATGCTGAAAAGTACTGTTTCCTGATTTTGAAGGGTCGTACTGACAGTTTATAAATTTTGAACTCTTTAGTCTGCGGTCCGCTTCAACTATAAAACGAAAGGCAAAAATAGTGTATTGTTGCCGGTCAAAAAACTTACTGTCTTACTGACATTTCATGAACTTTGAACCGTTTAGTTCGTGGTCCGCTTTAATTTTCAAAATTGAAACAAAAAACGAAAATATATTCTTTCCGGTCAATAAACACAAAAAAGCTTTTGAAGCGTCGTACTGAAATTTTATGAACTTTGAAATGTTTAGTCTGCGGTCCGTTACAACTTTCAAAATTGAACAAAAATTTAAGAATGTACTGTTTCCGGTCAAAAAATACAAAGACTGATTTTGAAGCGTCTTACTGACATTTTATAAACTTTGAACTGTTTAGTCTGCAGTCCACTTTATCTTTAAAAATTGAAATAAAAAACAAAAATGTCATTTCTGGTCATAAAACACAAAAGAAAACTTATTTTAAAGCGCTTTACTGACATTTTTATGAACTATAAACTGTTTAGTCTGAGGTCTTAAGGCGCTAAAAAAGTAATCAGGGTGTTCAGTCTGCGGTCCGCTTCAACTCCCAAAATTGAAAACAGAAACAAAAATCCAAAGTTTACAGTAAAAAACACAAAAAACTGTGTTTTAACGTCTCACTGACATTTTATGTATTTTACAAAGTTTAGTCTGCAGTCCGTTTTAATTTTCAAAATTGAAAGAAAACGCAAAAATGTACTGATTCCGGTCAAGAAAAAAACAAAAACCAGCTGATTTTTAAGTGTCGTACTGACATTTTATAAATTTTGAACTGTTTAATCTGCGGTTCGCTTTATCTTTAAAAATTGAAATAAAAAAATATACTATTTCCGGTCATAAAAAAAACAAAAAAAAACTAATTTTAAACCGCCTTACTGACATTTTTATGAACTTTTAACTGTTAAGTCTGCGGTCCGTTTCAACTTTCAAAATTGAAACAAAAGGCAAAAATGTATAGTTTAGCAAAAATAATGTCTTGTTGCCGATCAAAAAACTTACTGTCTTACTGACATTTTATAAATTTTGAACTGTTTAATCTGCGGTCCGCTTTAACATTCAAAATTGAAACAGAAATGTATAGTTTCCGGCCAATAAACACAAAAAAACTGATTTTGAAGCGTCTTACTGACATTTTATAAACTTTGAACTGTTTAGTCTACAGTCCTAAGGTGCTGAAAAGTAATCAGGGTATTCAGTCTGTGGTCCACATCAACTTTCAAAATTGAAAAAAAAAATCCACTACAGTTAAAAAACACAAAAACTGTTTTTTGAGCCGTCTTACTGACATTTTATGTATTTGGCACTGATTTGTCTGCGGTCCGTTTCAATTTTCAAAACTAAAAAATACACAAAAATGTACTGGTTCCGGTCAAAAAACCCAAAAAACTGATTTTGAAACGTCGCAATTACTGACGTTTTGTTAATTTTGAACTGTTTAGCCTGCGATCCGCTTCAACTATAAAACAAAGATCAAAATAATGTACCTATTTTTGCCAGTCAAAAAAACTTACTGTCTTACTGACATTTCATGAACTGTTTAGTCCGCGGTCCGTTTCAACTTTCAAAATTGAAACAAAAAACAAAAATGTATAGTTTCCAGTCAATAAACACAAAAAAACTGATTCAAAAGTGTCGTACTGACATTTTATGAGCTTGAAATGTTTAGTCTGCGGTCCGCCACAACTTTAAAAATGTATTGTTTCTGGTTCAAAAAAACATAAAAAACAAATTTTGAAGTGTGTTACTGACATTTTTATGAACTTTGAACTGTTTAGTCTGCGGTCTGCAGAAACAAAAACAAAAATGTATAGTTTTCGGTTATTAAACACATAAAAACTGCTTTTTAAACGTCATACTAACATTTTGTGAATTTTGAACTGTTTAGTCTGCGGTCCCCTTTATCTTTAAAAATTGAAAAAAAAAACAAAAATGTACTGTTTTCGTTCATAAAACACAAAAAAAACTGATTTTAAAGTGCCTTACTGACATTTTTAACTTTAACTTTAAACTGTTTAGCCTGCAGCCCTAAAGAGAAAGGTATTCAGGATGTTCAGTCTGCGGTCCGCTTCAACTTTCAAAATTGAAAAAAAAAATTAACTGTCAAAAACCGCAAAAAAACTGATTTCGAAGCGTCGCCCTGACATTTTATAGATTTCGAACTGTTTAGTCTGCGGTCCACTTCTATCTTCAAATTGAAATAAAAAACAAAAATGTATAGTTTTCAGTTATTAAACACAAAAAACTGATTTTGAAGCGTCGTACTGACATTTTGTGGACTTTGAAATATCTAGTCTTCGGTCCACCTCAACTTTAAAAATGTTTTGTTTCTGGTTGAAAAACATAAAAAACTGATTTTGAAATGTGTTACTGACATTTAAGAACTAGAATTGTTTAGTCTTCGGTCCGCTTCAGCTTTCAAAATTGAAACAAAAACCAAAAATGTATTGTTTCCGGTCAAAAAACACAAATAGACTGTTTAGTCTGCGGTCCGCTTTGACAAACCCACTTACTGTGCGACCGTGGCGGCAGCGGGGGCGCCTCCTCGACCCCCGAGTCCGACCAGGAGTTCCTCAAAGGCGACAACCCATCCGTGGGGGTCATGGAGGCATGCCTCAAGAGCCTCGGCGAAGGGGGCTTCGTGAGGGACCGCTCCCTCGAATGGGTGGGCTTCGGGGGCAGTGGTATGTCGTAAGAGTCCGAATTTCGTGTCTTCATCAACGGTAAACTCGACGTGTTGTAATCCAATCTAGTTGGCGTCTGTGCCTCGCTAAAATTATTGGTGAATCCCTGAGATCTGGGTCTGAGTTCGCGTTGAGGTATAGGTGGCGCTGTCGTCGCCATCGGCAGTGTTAGATTTTCACGAAGTGGCCGTTCGTTTTCCTACCGGAAAAAATGGCGTCACTTCCGCAAAATGGCCGCGGCATGCAAGCTAAAACTATAGGTAGATACCATAGGTTTGGTGTAGATGTCGTCGCTTTCCAGGGTTCGGTGCTCGGCTAAGTAATCGTAGTTTCCGGTTCGGTGGTTTCCGTTCTCGACCACCATCAGTCTTTTCTCGATCGGTAATGGGGGGAGGGGGGTACTAAAAACCGCCATATTTGAAAATGGCCGACACTAAACCACCGACATACTTAACAATACTATCAGGGATTTGTCTTTTGATTTTACTCAAAGCACCTAAACTCTCTTTCAACTGTGCAAAACGCTCCAGTAACCGGTGGTGGAGGGGGACAACCCCGGCCGGTGCTAACCTCCCGTGTAACTCTAACCCTTCCTCAATCACCTCAAAAAAACGTTCAGTCTGCGGTCCGGCTCAAAAAACACTAACACTTACTTGCATGGCATCTAGAATCAAGTTTTTGAGGGTGTAAACATAAGTCATGTGTTCGGGACAAAGTTTTGCAAATTCTTGAGTGAAGAAAGCTTGTTGGTATTTACTAATCCCACCCTGGACGTTCGCATCGATAATCCCTTGTAATCTCATCGTCAAGGGATTTAAGTTCCTCTTCGGTTCGATCGTATAAGTCGTTATTAGTTGTCTCAATTCAAGCTCAACCGATTGCATTGTCTCACACGCATATTTGACAGGTGGGATTTCGTCAGTGTGACGATTTATCACCTCAAACCAGCGCAAAATCCCCGGAAGGGGGCTCTCCACCTCCAGAGTCATGCGCTCGATCCATAAAGTCTACCAAAGTTCGAAAAAGTGAGGTTAGATATGCTCGTTTTCATATTAATATGCTTCGAAGTAGGCGTTGAAACGGATCATGGCAACTAGAGATGGGCAAAAAGTATCGATGTTTTTCAAACATCGATTTAAAAATGTGTAAGTATTTTTTTAAATATCGATGTTTTTTACTTCGATACATCGAAATTGGTTTAGCTAATTATTTTAAATTATCTTTAATTTTTTTTTATTTTAAAATTTCATTCATAAAATTTAAATTCGATGATGAAGTGATGTAGGTGGTTAAGTTTTGTGTTTGTAGTTTGTATTTGTTTATGTTTTATGCAAGAATTGTAAGAAATATGTTTATATTTGTATTTTTTTATGTTCCAAAAATTTATTATTAAAAAAATTGGTAAATGACTTTTTTTCAATAAAAAACATCGATTTTTTTAAGTATCGATGTTTTGAGGCGATATACAGGGCTGCGCCCGAACTCGCGTCCCAGAGAAAATTTTCAAGTAAGATAAGATACCAGGAACATGAAAAAAATGTTTAAAAAATTCTATCTGTCAAAAAATTTTGACATTTGACATTTTTTATATCTATTTAAGGATACTGATGATCTATATGTTTTTTTTCAATTATTTAGTAAAGGGAGAAAAATTTTGTTAATAAAAGCCACAAATAACAATGAACAGAGTTACAATTTAGGATACAGCTTCCTTGTTTCCTCTTTTAATAGTCTATAGCAAAAAAACTTGGAAAATTATTTTTCCAACAGAAATAAATAGAGTCAAAGTGCAAACTTTAAACCCTCATAACTTCGAAATTTTTTAGATAAAATTTTTTTAACATTTTTTCCATGTTCCTGGTATCTCACCTTATATGGCATTTTTCTCTGGGGCGCGATTTCTAGCGCACCCTGTATATTACATCGATAATTTCTTATTCGATCATCGATGTCACAGAACATCGATATTTATTTTTTGATGTTCCCATCTCTAAAGGCTTCCATAAAAAAATTCAATCAATCCTAACCTCAATCTTCCCCAAAAATAATTTTTTCAAATAAATGTGTACCCCAGGTATCAAAAAATAATTAAAATTAAGTACGTAATTAACATATAGTAGCAAACATAAAGATTTTTTTTGAATTTGAATGACATTAATGACACTTTTTGTGTGAATTGGCCTTTAAACTAAAGATGCATTTCCACACTTCCACAACCTACTTGACGCACATTAATATAAAAAAGTATAGAACATACAACAAAATGGCGTCATAAGTGTCTAAAACCCACTTTACCTTAATCTCATTCTCCTTATCTATAATTCCTTTATGTACAGGACGGTCACACTGGAACCTTTTCACGTCGTTGTAGTGGTAAAACCGTGAAATTTTCTCGGGTATGTCAGTCGCTAAAGTGATTGGATTCGGTTCAGGGATCGGTTTCACGTTACAAATTTGTATAACTGTCACTATTAAGGAAAAATTTTAAACAAAATGGCGCCCCAACAATCAAAATGGCGTAAAGGATACATTGCCCCTCTGAGTTGACAATGGAGTCGTCAGGTGGCGTGTTCTTCATAAGTATCTGAGCTGATGGAAATTCCGTTTGAAGTCTTTGAGTAAAGGCACCGATGCGTTCGTATTCTAACCCCCTATATACAAACTGTTTATTCTGAAAACATAAAAATGTTCAGTCTGCGGTCCGCGATATTCTGTCAAAACTGTCAAAATACGAAAGAAAACAGTTTAATTGGGTGAAAAGTGTTTAGTCTGCGGTCCGGTTCGTGACTTACCCTCACAAACAGCGGAAAACTAAGCCCATAGAAGCCCACCCTGAAATATTCCGGTTCTGGACGGAGCTGTGTCAAAATATTATCGTAAAATTTCGCTTGGTATTTAAGAATATCACTCAGTGCTTTATAATCGAAAAACTGGGTTTCGTACAGTGTTGCCAGCTCCTTCAACAGGGGAATCCCCTTCTCCCAACACTTCCCCTTATCAAAATAATTGATAATCTGTCTGTACAACTTCTCCTTGACTTGACATTCGGTAAAATTCGGAAAACGATTATCTACCACCAGTGTGGTACTACTCCAAGTCAGCTGATCAGCATATAGTTTCATCGTAAAAGCAGCCTCAGTGTAGTTTTCCGCAGACAAATGAAGATCGTGAAGCTTGTAAATGTAGCGGAGATACATTTCTTTGCGATTGAACTCGTTTTTGTAGAAATTCTGAAATGTCGGTAAAGTAGAGAGTGACATTGACTTGTGTGACGTACCAAAAGATTGAAAGTGCACGACATGCGCTTATCACGGTTTTCATCGCCTTCTATAACACTCCGGTAATCTAGAAGGCGTTCCAGAAGCCGCGTGATGGAACTTATAAAAGCAGCACCGCTTTCCTTCCACGCCAAATCCTCGGATTGGACGCGATCTAGCAGGCTGTAATGATAATCACGTGAGTGTTACGTCACAAAGTGCGCGAAATTTGAATCTTACACTGCGCTCAAATGCTCCCTTGCCGCAATAACAGAAAATTATTGTTTCAAAGTTAAACAAATCGGTGGAAAAAAAATCCTAGAGAGTTGGAATTTTTTTTAAACGCTTTCTTTATACTTGGGTAGATATATATCAAAAGTCCTCGAAGGTGGGGGGCAGCTCGAAGAGAGGGAGGGGGTTAAAAATGTCTTTTTTTGTTTTTTTGCTTATACCTCGGAAACTATCACTCCTATAGGTTTTTATCTTCTTATCAAAATTAAAGCTTACAAAATTTCCTACAAAAACGATCCTTTGCATTTTTGTTGTAGGACTAACCATAAGCGAGTTATAGGGCTGACAAAAACATAATTTAAAAAAATGTGCTTTATCCGTATTTAAAACAGAATTAGTCTTGTAATTTGAAAAAAAATTGACAGTAAATTGAATTTACTGGGTCCAATACTTCATTAAAGGAAGGGGGAGTCACGAGGGTCTATAAATACAAACTCATCGTTTATGTAATTTTTGCAGAATTTTCTGCAGAAGTCTATTTCTGCACCAAAATTTCCTACAAAAATGGTCCTATTCATTTTTGTCGTAGGCTTTCCAAGTTTAGAGTCTACATAAAATTGCATTAAAAATCCTTTGAAACACATTTTATTAGTTTATGATAAGTATTTATACCAGGTGAATAAAAAGTATGGAACCAAACGTTTTTTGCTTAAACTATTAATTTTTTGGAAAACTAATTGATGTACGATAAAGTACTTTAAAGATATGATGTTTTATCAAGAATAAATTTTTTCGAAATTTTCTTTTGTATTTGAGTTCTACAAAAAATTTTATTTTTTTAAATAGCAACCCATTATAAAACATTATTCTCATAAAGGTTATGATCTAAGGATTACAACTATCTACTTCATATTATTTAATTAAAAAATTTTTTTTTTCATAAATTGCAATTTTGGCTAAAAAATCGCATAACTCAAAAACAAGACAAAATTTTGTTCTCAAAATACGATCTCATTTTTTATATTACGTTAATTTATATTAATTATTATTTTCTGAAGACAAATGATTTAAAAAAAACCGCTTGGTTCCATACTTTATATTCACCCAGTATGTGTAAACGGAGATTAAAAAAAATTTTTGGATGAAAGAGAGAATCAATCTGTAAAGGGGGTTAAATGGGGTGTAAATGTTTAAACAAAGATATAAACATAAAATTTTTTAGAGGTGTAAAGGGGCACTAAAATCAGATTTTTCGAAAATTAGTTTTTAAGTGAATAAAACGGTATTCACATTTAAAGGGATATAAAAACATAAAATTTAGAAAATATCATAGAAAGTGTAGAAGTGCACTTTTCAAATTTTAACGAAATAAAATAAAGTTTAACGCTTTAAAACAAAATTAGAAACATGAAATTTCGAATTTTGAGAGTGCAGAAGTGCACTGAGACGACACTTTATGAAAATCAACATTTAATATTTATCCAATACATTCAATTTACTGTAAGCTTTATTCAAATCATCTATTTATTAATATTGTACTGAACAAGACTGTAATTTGGTTTTCAATGTTTAAGTTGAAGACGAAGATGCACATTTTTTTAAATAATGTGTTTTGTCAGCCCTATAACTCGCTTATGGTTAGTCCTACAACAAAAATACAGAGGACCATTTTTGTATGAAATTTTGTAGGCTTTAATTATGATAAGCAGGCAAAAACCGATTGGAGTGATAGTTTCCGAGATATAAGCAAAAAACCAAAAAAAGGCACCTCTCTTCGAGCTCGGCCCCCACCCTCGGGGACTTTTGATATATGTCTACCCAAGTGTAAAGAAACCGTTTAAAAAAATTCCAACTCTCTAGGATTTTTTTCCACCGATCGCCCTATTTTTGTCTAATTTGACTGGGCTAGAAATAAAAAACTTACATCGTATTGAAGAGTCTGCGGTACTCATCATCGCCCTTATTTTCCGAAATGAGAATATCCAACTTGTCGATAAGTTCGCTCTCTACTTGTCGGAAATTTCCTCGGGCCCGTTGCTCGCACTCCATCATATCGAAGAAAATGTGCAAGGTGGCTTTCCTCAGCTCGATTTCAGGAACTAGAGTTACTTTCAGGAACGGCCCCACCATGGAGGGAATAAAGTGTAGTTTGCATTCGCCCAATTGCGACCACATGGACAAAATCTGGAAGCCCATCAAGACCCTCATATCCCCATATTTCTCGATAATCTTCTCGCGTTTCACTTCGGAGAAGTGCTCCAATTGGAGCGGCTTCTGGGTCAAGTAGTCGACAGCGAGGTTGAAATAGTCGGTCCATAACTGGAATTCGCGCCTAAAATTTGGACTTCCTACTCACTACTTTACCTCCTTGTCGAAATACCCGCTCCGGGAGTCCAAAAACTTGAAAGCGAGAGGTTGGGCTAACTCCTGGAGCGACTTCAACATGACGTTGTTCACCACCATTTTCATGACAAGCCAATCAGGGGGGAAGACTTCCAGACGGACCAAGTTGCGGAAAACTAGGAAAATTCGCAGGAGGAAGTCTTTGAGGGGCTTCCGGTCCGAGTTGGGGGCCATTAGGACTTCCCAAAGCCGTTTGTAGTGATATTCGTCCAAGAGTTGCAGAATCCCGATCAAACAAGCCACAAGACAGCCCTAGAAACTCAATGAGAAGTCCAAATGGTGGGGCTTCGTCTTACCAAAATTTTCCCGTCTTTGACATCCTTGAAATCAATTGTGGTCAACACCGCCTGGACTAAAATATCCAAAATGTTGATACAGAGTGTTTCAACATCGTGGTGGATGCAATTGTTGATTTTTTGGCCTTCAAACTGTCTTCGTTGTTTGAAGAGGAAGGCGAGGATTTCGCCCAAAATGTCGGTGCAGAGTTTGAGTTCTTCGCGGCGGTGCAATTGCACACGCAAATGCTTGCAAGCATTTGCTAGTAAAATATTTCTAGACTCATCATCTTGGAATAATTTGCTCGTGACGAGGTTTTTGATACAGGACAACTTCGCCTGGACTAGGAGCACCGGTAAGTCCTTGGGGATGGCGTCCAGGAGGGTCGCAGCCAACTTTGTCACTTCAATAGTGGGCAAAACTTCGATCAATTGCTCGTAAACCGCACTAATCGATAATAAAAGTGCCACTTGAGTGTTGATTATATGAAGATCATTCACAGTCAACATTTTATTGAGAGAAGAAAAAACACTGTATAAGTCCCGTCGGAAGCTATCTTCGTATTGCCCACAAGTGGCGCGTGAAAACAAAAGCCGACTTTGAATGATCAATTTGAAGATGTATTCAAGACTCTTGTAGCACTTTTGGATTGGTTCCTGCTTCTCGAAGGAGAGAACCCAATCAGCGCAGTGTTGCACACTTGTGAGGAGCCCTTTGTAGACAAGGGCGGCCGCGAAATGGTCCTTAATATAAGCATCCAAAACTGGTTTAAAGTGTTGGTACTTGGAACCATCCAAAAGGTTGAAAATTGACACCAAAACGTGGAAAACTAGACCACTATAAGCGGTACTATTCCCGTCTTCTGTTGAAAAAAGGGCGAACAAAGCGTCTAAAACATCCTGGAGGAACTTGATGAGTTCCTCATCTCCCAGTCGCAAGACTTTTTGTAAAGAGTCTTGGATCTTTTCCGGGTGGGATTTCCACCTTAACAGTGCTAAAAGGTCCACTAAAAGTACCAAAATTGGGTTAGGGTCATAAAGAGAGGGTTTTGGTACCGTTTTGGGTGAGTTTGGTGGAGCACAGAAGGGTGCGAACGAAGACTACTTCTTTGTGGCTGCGGGAGAATTGACCAACACTGTCGTGGTTGCCTTCGAGGTCTTTGCTGAAGGCGGGGAGGGATAAATAGCCGCAATTTTCGAGTTTTTGAGGATCTTCGCATTTGTAAATGTAGAGTTCATGTTGGCCGTCTTGGACGGCGGCACCGTCTTTGTCCATGAGACGGATGAAGGAGAAGCCGAAGAGTTTTTTGTCGTTTTTTTCGCGGGCTAAAAGTTTTTGGTTAAGTGACAAGATTCGAAAAATTCGCAAAGATTCACAAAAAATAAAGATTATTAATTTGTACGGTTTAAGAGGTTTTTGAAGCCTTGGAATTTCAAAATTAAATATTGCAGTTTCTAGGTTCTGGATTAAAAAAAATAAATAAATTAGTATTAAGATTCATTGCTCTTTAGTTTGTTAAGCTTTTCCTATCCCTAGAATTGCTAGATTATTACATTATTTTTTGATAAATTATCAATATTGGTATCTTTCTCGTTGATTGATAATACAATTCCTGAGAATTTTTCTGAGATCATTACGATTGTGTAAAAGCCAAAGATTAAAGTATTGAAGTGTTTTTAGGGTTGTTTCAATTTTTTCTAATAATTGGGTTTATTGTACTTTTTAGGTTATCAAGATTTTAATATCTCTGACTGTTTACTAAAATGATGTTTGGATCAAGATTTTTTAAATTTTATTACTCTTCTCAAATTTCTCAACATTTTTGAGGATTTCTAGCTTTGTTGCAACTTCTCATAAATCTCAATTAAAGCTTTAATTTTTAGAATTCTTAATTCCAAAAATGTTAGGATTCCAAACATTATAAATCCCGAGATTAAAATTTTGTGTAATCGAGATTAAATGCTTCTAGAAATTCAAAAACCCTTTTTTAAGATCATTAGATTCCTACGGTTTCTTAGAATCTATATAATTTCAAATTTTTAAGGTTTTAAAATTCCCAGAAATCCTAACTTTTATAATAAGAATTTTTCTATTTCTCAAGTTTTCATATTTCTCATGATTCTGAGTATATTTCTAAAATTCTCATCAGCATCCTTACGTTTCCCAAAATTTAAAATTCAAAAATTTCTAACAATTGTTATAAATAACGATTCTAACGTTTTGGCACTGCGTTTTTTTAAACTTAAAAAACTTAGTAGGTTGGTTCTAGACTTCAGATTATTTAAGTAATTATTTGTAATTTGCTAATGATCTTGAAAATTTCACCTTAAATCGTTAAAAAAGGTAAATATTTAGAATTTCAAAGATTCTTTAAAATCCCGAAAATTTCGAAACCTCTAATCAAGAATTTCCAATTTCACAAAAACACTACTAATTTTTTCGTGCCACATATTTATTTCCAAGATTAAACTTCCAAAAAATGTGGCAATTCATAAAAATCTTTAAGCAGTTTGTTACTTTTCTTCAAACTTAAAAAAA